GCATCCGAAATCAGAAAAAAGTTGTGTCCACACTAGACTCAAATTACACCCATGTATATACGGTTTCACATTCAATAAGAAAAAAGACATAATTGATGCCTTCTGTCTCAATGTGACTATTTACCTGCATGCAAAGCACACGCAGAACCTTGTGCTGCTGTCATTTACGTGCCTGCAGGCGTGCTCACATCAACAACTGCTGACAGAAAACATTTCCTGACTACATATCATGAGTTGTGTAGCCTACAGCAGTCATACCACACCCATATTAAAACCATTAAAAATGCTCTTTTTCCAGATGTCATCCGCATTACCATAAATGTATAAGAGTTGGACTAGATGTTTGGTCCTCCTGGTGTCTGTCCTGTTATGGAATATGTTTGAAGTTGATAAAAAAATTTTAATATCATAATTTGCAAAGCCTTGAGGGAGTCACGGCTCCTTTTTATCTCGCTCTCTCTTTTGCTAGGCAAAGCATTTCAGTGGAAGGTTTATCACTTCATATGACATGTGAAAATTAAGTGGGAGAGAAGTAACACCACTTGATGCTCAAGACCTTAAAGATACAAAAATAAGAATAAAATATTGAATATAAAGCTCGTTACACTTTAAGTAAGAAAGCACACTTATAAATGTCAAATACAGATAGATTTCCTCTCAAAGGTCACATTTATTGTGCTTTCCTCCTTTCATTCAAAAGGTCACAGAAAATATTTATTATTACAGAGAATTATTATGATTGAGAATGCAACAACAAACAAAACAAGTAAATAACCAGAGGTTCAAACACAACACATGTAATGCTATCATATAAAACAGGGCTCCTGCACACCTACTGGTCTAACAGAGCTAAGGCTGCTGACTGCATCTTGTGGGGTCGACATCTCTGCTTTGTAGCTTTAAACACACACAGTGTCAGCTTGCTGCGATAATAAATGTGTGGAAGACTTTTTTCAGGTGTTGGCTTCAAATTTGGGATTCAAATCCGAAACTGACAAATTTTTAATCTACTGGCTCAGCAGTCCAGTTTGCAGTTACAATAGCAAAACTGCTTTGGTACACAAAACAAATCCATTGCTCATTATTGCTGAACAACAACTAATGAGTCCATTTCAATACGAACATTTTAAGCAAAACCATAGCTATGAAAACATTGCTCAATTATAGCTTTTTAAAGGTTTAGCAAAGCGTCCATGCAGGGAGTGAAATACTGTGCCTGTTCTCCATCAAGTTTTTTGAATATTGTCTAATTTATTTATTTATTTTAATATGCATTTATACAAAAGGAAAGAGTACCCAGATGTCAGCAAACTGTTTGCATCAGGCATAAAACTTTGCATGTGTTTGCATGGCTGAACGCAGCTCTGCACCACAATCTATGACCTCATACCTCTGCTTTGATCGCTTTTTGCCTATCAAGATTCTTCATAAATGGTTCAAATGACTCAGTCAGATCTGCAGTTTGAAGAAAGAAAATAAACAAATGAACACGCTATCACTCCAGCTTCAGCTCCGAGTTCAACACAAGGTGATTTAAAAGCTTGGCATCGCTGCCCTTTAAAGCGCTGCATACATCACTGAGCATAGGCTGTACCTAGTGATGGTGAGATGAAGCCTTGTGGTGAACTGAAGCTTTCCATCCAACTGGTCGACTCATGGTTTGAAGCACTGTGATGATTCATTTGCTCTACTGCGCCATCAAGTGGACGATTCAAGTGAAACAGGCTCTGTGATTATAATGATGTGATGTGTAAACCTCTAAACTGAACAAATAAATTGTTTTCATGGTTATTTATCATGAATATTGTCTCAGTATGTCTGATACGAAAGAGAAAGTGGAAACTATCAGGACAGAGTTTTGGTATGATTGTGTAACTGTGTAATCATGACACAAACTAGTGTGTGACGCTTCACTCTTTAATAAACTAAAAGACAGAAATCAGATTATAGGAATCTGTGGTGTTGTTCATTTATATTATGGTACTTATCATTCGTGATATTTATTACTGTGCGCATACTTTATTAGGAGAGATGAGATGAAAATGTTGCCAGACAGGAGAAAATCTTCTCTTCCTTGCTCGTTCCATCAAGTAGAATTGCTCAAGTATCTATGTAGCACGTACGTAATCCAATTCCACAACACAAAGTGATGGGGAATCAGCTGTGTTTTGCTGCCCATTTTATGTCTAATCTGGCGCAAACCAGCGAGCCAGTTCCTAAATCAGTCACATGGTACGGACTGCCCACGAGGCCTCGAACATCACTGTATATGTAATCAAAGCAAGCCTCACAAAAACTCCCCCGAGATTACTCAACTCACGCTTCAAAGCTTCGACACACAGGACACATCACCATCGGTCACTTACTATAGACATCTCTGCATTGAATCATACTTGTTATTAATCTCTGACTATCTTCCACAGCATGTTTCTTCCTGTTAAAAGGCTGCAGTTCATAAACAAAAGTATCACCTGCCATGCCTGAACATAGGTGCTGGTATGGCACAGTGAATGAATCTTGACTCTTTGAATTTTGATATTTTTTACCCCTCAAATGAAGGTGAGCTAAATATTAATATAATATTTTCAAGGTCTAGTTGAATCATGGGCTCATTAGCTTGTTCAATTTACAATTCTAAAGCCCGGTTTGTGGTTCAGTATGAGAACAGACACTTCAAGCATAAAATGCAGAGCTGTTCCTTTCAGAGTTAATTCGCCGACATCCTATTTTCACAACTACGCTAACGTCACGTACATTTTCCTCCACAAATTTTCAGTCAGACTATATCCATGTCTAAATGTGTTAATTAGCCATATTATTATGACGATATTACATATGAAACAGTGCAGTCTGGTTCCACTAATAGTAGCAAAAACTGAAATCATTTTCCCCCTCTGGGTCTCATGAGCTTTTTGGGCAGACAAGATTTACTGTTTACATTGGATATTCTTTCTGTTTGGTCTTTGTAGTGTGACCAGGAGATATTTTATTTTGTATTCTTATGATCACAGTTATAATCAGAAGTATCAATCATTAATCATTTACCATTGTTGAACCAGTTGACAGAATAATCTTTGAACCATATCTAGGTTAACATTAATCTACACAGATTATCAGTACTCTAATCAGTCTATTGTTGTTCTGTACTATTCATGTTATTTGCTTAAAGCTGTTTCACAGTTCTGTAATTACTCAGAAGCCTGTGGGGCCTGCTGGACCCTGCCTTGGTTCCATGTTCCGTTCTGCACGTACACAGGCCTTGAAAGTACATGCACGCTCTTATACAACACATGAATGTGTACACACACCCTTAGTAAGAATAGGAGGGTTGTCTGAGGACAGTTTTCTGACAGATATACTTTCACAAAAGGCACGAATGTAATACACACTTGTTTTCTCTAACAACTAGCAGTTGATGTCCATATTAGGTAAACTCTCTGAACAGGCCCAAAACTGTTATCATTTCCAGTAAGGTCTGACTGTGTTACGTCATCATGGGATCATGGGTTATATAAGGATGGGGAGCGGTCCACTCTTTGGAGATCTGTGGCTGTACGCTTGTCTTCCCATGCTTCTGTCTTAGAAGTGTGCAATAAAAATCACTATTCTGACATCTACTGAGACCATGCAGTCGTTTGTCTCTTCCTCAAATTCGAACCTTAACAGTAGCAACAAGCAGCAGTTTGGAGCTGAAAACATTACCACTTCATATGTACATTATATATGCAGGCTTTATGATTTCTTGGGAACCATCAATGTTAACATGTTATTTTAATTGACTGCAATAATTATGTTGCCTTATGATAACAAAAAAAAAGTCTTACAATGTTGAACTAGTCAGTTTTGTTCTTAATTGGTAGTAGTTTCATTGACATGTAACAGTTGCTTCCTCTTGGAACTGCTGCACTCGTGGATGCATTAAAGACAATTAAAGAGAGCTCTGTGTGGGTCTGTCTACACTTACATAAGAAAATGTAGCTTTTTTGTGTGTTTCATCCACATGTAAACAGCTTTTTAGATAACTGAAAACAGCACTTTGGAAAACTGCTTACAGGGTGAAGGTTTTAGAAAGTTACTTTATGTGTTCACATGTGGACAAGGAAAACGGCTTCCAGACATCAAAGGCGTGGGTCTCTATTTCCTTCTTCGATGTCAGAATGTGCACAGTGTTGGTGATAGTTCCTCCTAGGCTTCTGATTGGCCCGCCTTTTAATACAGACAAAATTATATCACCACCTGCAGCGCTGTCATGCTCTTGACAGTACTTGACATCATTTTTGCACTTTTGGCCCTTTTGAGCAAATACAGTACCAAAACTCCCTACTCAGTTGCATTATGTCTCTCAGCAGTAGTAGAAACTAAAGCAGAGCCCAACTTAAACTATAGTGTCCATATACACCATCTGTGAAACACAAACACTTAAACCCCAAGTGAGTGTTCCTTCTCTTCAGCTGCAACTTTGGTTGGCAGATTCAATTCAGTTTAATTTTAGTTATCTAGCTCCAAATCACAACACTCGCCTCGAGGTGTTATATATAACTACAATGAGCTAACCCTGAACAAGAACTTTGCAACAGTGGGAAGGAAAAACTCCCTTTTCCTTTTAACAGGTAGAAACATGTCAGAATCAGGCTCAGGGAGGGGAAGACATCTGCACTGACCGCTTTGTTGAGCAAGACAGGACAAATTAAATACACAGTGAAGGAGGGCCAGAGATTAATAATGATGATTAAATGCAAAGTGGCATGTAAGCACAGAGAGAGTGAAAAAAGTGTAGTGAAGAAGAAACCATCAGTACATCATGGGAAGCCCCAAACACTCTAGGTCTATTGAAGTGTAACTAAAAAGGAAAGTTTGACGCATAGATTTCCACCTAAATGCTACTTTGTCATAAGACCCCTATAATGAGCAAAAAGGTCACAGGTTGCAAAAATATATAGAGTCTGGTACATAAATAAAAAGTCCCATATAATTATACACGTGTATTTTGATTTATTTTATTGAGTCTAAAATACTGAGTCTATATAAGCCAAGTCTATAATGTGCCAAATTTATATTGCAGGAAGCAGAACATATAGCTTTGTTCAGACGTGGTTTGGTTTGGTAAAAAAACTGGACCAAAGACCATATGTTCTATGTGGCAAATTAATAGAAAAATTACATTCAGTTACAAAGAGTAACAATTAACAATTCACAAAATGATCTTAGTAAGCAAGTAGGTTCATTGTACCCTTGTTGTCAAACACTTAATGTGTTACTTGCTTCGTTGCAGGTCTCTCATGCCCTTTGGATTATCCTGTAATTGACAGAAAGGACAATGAGTGATCTAATCATTAAAAAATATCCCTGATAATTGTGTTTCTTAAGGAGTGTAATAGATCAGAGATGGCCATGATAATGGGGGCTTACAGGGAATATCTCTTCCGTCTGCTTAAAGCGTGAAGAAGCCTTCTCTAGAAAGAATGCCCAAAATATAAATGCGAATTAGTAGTCAGATATATTTAATGCATTTTGTTATATCGTATAAATCTTTATTTATATATAGAATTTGTGGCTGATGCACACACACACACACACACACACACACACACACACACACACACACACACACACGCATACACACACACACACACACACACACACACACACACACACACACACACTTAATAACAATTTAAAATTCAAAGGAATATTAGTTGCCTTACTGCGCAGTATCTTTCTTGCCAATACAGCCAAGCCCACTAGAAGCAGGAGAGACGAACACCCCACTATAGACTCCAACATGTAACTAGGAAGCAGGCACAAAGCAGACTGAGCAGACAATCCACCTTCGACATCCATTAAAGTGAAAATAAAGAAGTGCTGACTTTTACCGGTAACGGTTCCAGGGCTGACTCGGAGTAGGTGGGGATGTCACGGGCTCTGTTTTTGAAGGTAAAGATATTGTAGCGCTAAAAAAAAAATACTGTAACAACTCTGTAAATATGCTGTTATAGGTAAAGAGAGTTTCCAGCATCCTAACATCAATATTATTCATAGGTGACTTTTAATAATCGATACCCTGAACAAGTAGAGACTTGAGAGCCTCTGCCATCTGTCACAAACACATATTGATCTTTAAAGCTGCTTCTTCCCATTTCAGCAGCTACAAGGTAACATGGAGAAAATGCCAAGCAATCACGAAAAAACTACAATGCATGATTTAAAATGCTAATAGGTTATGCAAATGATAAGCTGCAATCATTTATTTGTCTTGGAAATGTTGCTATTACTCTAACCTGTATTAGCATGTAAGGACTGTGAAACATGGGAAGGGTCTTAGTTTGTTTTCTTTCACTTAAAATAATGTTGTCTATAACACAAAATGGCATTATGTTTGTTAAAATCATTTGCAACCGATGATACACAATAATGACACAATCTCAGACTATGTCTGTTTAGCATTTTAGCAATTTTTGGTTCGTTCTACAGTTACAGGTCAATTTCATGTCAACGAGCTTTATCAGCCAAACATTCATTTCAGGCAATGATAAATATCATAGTTGTTTTTAATTAATTTTTTAAAAATCAACAGTTTCCATCATTTATTTTTTCCTGGCCATTTAGCTAAATGTCGAGTTTTGCTATTCAAATTAACACTAGGCTGCATTTAGAGGTGACATGTTAGCGAGGGCCTAAAACTAAAGAATTGTCAATTGTGTTACCTGTCACCCAGTTTTCCTTGATAACACATTCTATCATGATTTAGACTTAGTCTAATTAATGCACCACATACTGATTTTGAGAGAAGCACTTAATATTTATAGAAACAGAGAGAGAAAATAGCAATGTTTTTATCTGAATACAGGCTTCTCTTTTCCTCTTAATGCATGCCGTCAGCTGTGTTGCTCTTTTTATTTCTTTTACAGCCAACTGTGTTACATGTGATTTTTGCATCATAAATCTTTTAAATGTTGGCTGAATAGTAATAAAAATATACAGGGTGCATTTCTAGAGAGGGAAGTCTAGAGTTATTCAACATAAGGATGTTGACTAACTCTAGACTCCCTGTGATGAAAAAAAAATCGTCCTTGATGATATCAGCACACAGAAAATCCATAATGAAGTTTAATTATCACAGTTTCGAGTCAGTTAGACAGCAAAGCTCAAAAGTGTAATTTGTTATGTTTTTTATGTCTAAAATATGAAAGGCTCTTTATCAACTTACTAGTAGAGCCGTGTGGTCTGACCTGAACCTGTACGGCTACTTGCTGCTGCCCTGCAGAACATAAATACCAGTCAGCATCTCTCATCTGCAGCTTCTTTAAGGTTACAGTGAAAGCCCCAGTTCTGTCATCGCTGATGGTCACTGAAGTATCTTCGTAACTCCCTGTCGACAGACAGGAGCTCGGGTCTCCGCTCCGACACCACTTCTTCTCACTTAGTCTGTTGACAGGCAGTCACAAGAGAGTCAGTGAATGCTCACTGTCCACCAGCGTTTGATACCAATGAAAGTTTTTGGACAAATTCCCACATTTACTGAAGTGTGGTCAGTGCTTCTTTAAGGACAGTTCTAAGGGTTTTAAAGGATAAAATGTGGATAAAATCCTCCAAAGGAAAACCAAATACCTGAATCTCTGAGTGTAAAGGCATTGAACCGTGAGACTACTTCCTTCTTCCCCACTCACCATGCTGTTCACAACTGACACACCTGCAGAGATCATGAAAATGCAACAAACTTCTTTAAAACTGTGGGCTAATAAATGTTTATCATCTCAAAATTTCTCCATTACTCACCATGAAACACTTTCACTTCAGTGTAAGCCACGTCATCAGCCCTTGATGCTAATTCCACACCACACGAGTACCACCCAGAGTCCGTCTCTTTCAGGTCGTTTATGGTCACTGTGAACATCAACCGGGCCGGGTCGTCAAAAATGCTCACTTTGTCTTCACTTGGCTTGGCCGAGGAGGTCTCGTCAGTTCGGGCCAGGATCTCGCAGAAAATTCTCGTCCCCCCATGACACCAGTATTTGACATGGTCAGCATAGTGAGAACCATATCGACATTGGACAGTGAGGGATCCACCCTCCGGGCCAATAAACTCCTTTTGAGTGGTCACCCAGCAGAGAACAGCTGACATGAAGTGGAAATCATTAAATGTTAAACACCAATTTGAAATGAAACTTTTAGTCATGACACAACTTTAACAGAGCAGTTGCTCACATCGGACACCTGTTATCTATAAATAAAAGGTGTGGCCTTTGGCAACACTTGCACCATATTAATCCGCTTCAGTTTCCTTTGTTACAAAGCACAGTTTCCTGCTTTAGTCTAAGGAGCTTGGAAAGAAAAGCGTCTGGACTTATTTAAGTTGCCTGAAGATGTTTCACCTCTCATCCGAGAAGCTTTTTCAGTTCTAAGGGTCAAATAGTGGAGAGTCCCAGATTTAAACCCAGTGGGAGTAACCCCCGAAAGAGGGACAAAGGACCCCCTGATGATCCTCTACCTAATCTGAAAACAGCTTGAAAATCTTTTTTGTCTGACTTCTCTAATCAAATGCACACAGTCACATTGAATACCTGGGATCCATGGTATCAGGCTGAGCGTGAGTATAAAGAGTCGCTGCATGTTTCCTCTTCAAGTTTGACGCTTAACAAGAAAGTGTTCTGTGTTGTGCAAACACAGACTCCAGATTCCACCATATATAAAATTTCCCTTTGTCATGTGACCACTGGGCAGATACAGATGCTTCAGACGTTAACTACATAAATGCCAGATTGTAATGACACTGTAATAAACACTTCTTTAGATTTGAATTAGAATTTGATGAATGTTGTGTTGATGTTCTGCTGATTATTTTAACAGCTTTTCTCTGATTTTTATGAAATCTTTGACTTTGTTTGTTTATAATGTTTATAATGTCTCTTTATGATATGTCTAATGATAAGCAGCAATGCTTTTATAAAGATGTAACTCTGGTGTCTCCAAAAGTTGATTCTGTTCATCTGGACGTAGCGTTTTGTGGGAGAAACGTTTCGTCACTCCTCCAAGTGACTTCTTCAGTCTCAGCTGACTGCAGGTTTCCTCAATCTTATAAACAGTACATTTGCAATATGCATCTGGTACACTAGCTGCACAGTGGCTCAGAGGAAAGCACTCCAAGGGGTCATTAACACTGGCTGCCCTCTCCCCACACTGGAAGATCTAAACAATACCCGCTGTCTTAAAAAAGCTCAAACCATTATAAAAGATACCTCACATCCTGGGGACTCCATGTTTGAACTGTGCCGTTGTTACTTCTGCAGTTGTTGCTTGACAGTTGTTGCTTCTGCTACAAGACCTTTTATGGTCATCTATTTCCTGGAAACATTTGTGATGATCTCAGAAGGGACATTTTTAGCCAGTTTGACCTTGCCAGCAAAATAACCCCTAAAATTCCCCGCTCTTTTCAGATCCCCTTACACAGAGCAATCGGTGTAAGGACTAATAGACTCAAACACAGTTTTTATCCAACTGCAATAACACGTCTGAATACTGCAAAAAAAGATGTCCATTACGCCACTCTTGTGGGAATGTATGTGAATGTTTGCTAATACTATTCCTATTATCACTTTTATTTATCAATTTTATTGAATGTTATTGTTTTATTTATATTTTGATATTGTTAGGGATGATGCACTGATCGGGGACCATTTTTAATTTCACTGTACCTGTGACAATGACAATAAAGACATTCTGATTCTGAATTGTACTAGACTCTTACGGGGTCAGCGGATGCTGAGACCCAATTCTTTTGCTCTCAGGCTGGATAAAGAAGACGCAAACTCAGTGTATTCAAAATGTATGCTTTATTCAAGAAAACCTTCCAGAAGGGATATATGCACAGCCTCCTGCTGATCCGAGGGGCGCTCCCTCAGTCTGTTACATTTATAACTTTTGTTTTCAGCATCTGACTTTCCTGTTCTTCAGCCCTCTGTCCCCTGCGCCCCTCATGCACAGTTTTGATCAAAACAGCTCCTTTTATGATCATGCACCCTAACTCTGTCTCTTTCTTAATTTAAGCCTTCATTTCCTATGTGTGTGTCATGGTCCTGGGCCATGTGGGCCCAGTATTCTCAGTTCCTTGTGTTTTTGTATTTCGTTCCTTATTTAGGTCATGTTTCCTGAGTTGTCCTGTTATGTTGTTCCTTATTTGACTTCCCCTTGTGACTCTTATCCCCTGTGTGCCCCTCTATGTATCTGTGAGCCCTCATCTCCCCTCGTGTTTCATTCCATGTTTCCCCAGCCCACTATGCCCGTGCTCTCTCTCTCCTCCTGTTTGCACCTCTGTGTACTTCCTGTTTTACTTTGACAGTCTCCCGTCAGTGTTGTTTACTCCTGCCATGTCTTGTTATGTTTATCTGTGTCAGCTGTGTTCCCATGTGTGGCCACTTCCCCTGATCATCCCTCTTGTGTATTTAGTCTCTGTGTTTCATGTAGTCTGTGTCGCGTTGTCTGTGTTCTCACCTCCATGTTTTCACGGTCAGTCCTTGCAGTGATCATCATAGTCTGAGTTTTCTTAGTTTGTCGCAGTATTAGTTTTCCCAGTTTAGTTATAGTCTAGTCACGCCATCCCTGCTTTGTTTGTGCACTTTGTCTTCAGCCATAATAAAGGCTCGCTTTCTGTTAAGTCCACTCCCGTCTACTCACTTGTGTATGCACCTGGGTCCATCACACACACCACCGCACGGCCTGTCTCTGCAGACCGTGACAGTGTGTGGGCAATCTACAAATTAACTATTTTAAAACACAGCAAGCTTTCTACCTAGTTCTGCTTCTCCGTCTATATTTATCAAAATGTGTCAGACAACTGTTAAAGGTTGCCTTCTGCACCTCTAAGATAATGCTACCGTGCATCTACTCCTGCAATGCTATTTTTATGATAACTGGTTTGTCTAACTTCCCTCAGGAACGTCCAGCGGGGGTGAGTGACAAAGACTCCATTCTGCCGCCTTTTGTGTCAAGGGATAAACAGACTGTTTTCCCCAAGGCTGCTAACGCCAGCTTTATGAACCCCAGAGCTTGTGTTCCTCTGGTTCATGATAATAAAATGAGTGTTCATTTTGAGAATAATTACACCTCTCTGGGCTCTAAAGACTGTGCAACTTTTGTCGCTCCAGAGCCAAGTGGTGTAAAGACTGTTTCTTCTGAGACTGCTTTGCATTCTAATGCACGCACTATTAAGGACTATTTGTTTTGCCCCTTCTAAGCCCAAATTAATTTCTAGTGACTCCGTTTATCGTGACCCACTGTTTCTAAGCAGAGAGACAAACCTGTTAACAATGGAAAGGTTCCTCAAAAGCTGGCTGTGACTCACTCCAGGGCCTCCCCAGAGGCTGAGTTTCAGCCCTCAGCCCACTCTCGACCCCTGGGAGCTAAGAACCCAGCTGAGGACTGCACCTGGCTGTCGCTGCCTGAGCAGGGTCAGTGCTCTGCGCAGCTGCAGTCTGCTCTGTGTTTTCCAGAGGCCCACGTGCCTGCCGGTTCAGCCCTGTGTGTGCCAGGGGCCCCTGTGCCTGATGGTTCTGTGACTGTTTTCGCTGGGGGGTCCGAGGAGGCGGCCGGCCATCACCATCGACTGCAGCATCCCCGTCATCCACACCTGCAGCAGCTTTAGCCTCGCCTGGTCCAGCCTCTGCTTCTGCCTCTGCCCCGCCTGGTCCAGCTTCAGCATCAGCTTCAGCCTTGGATGCAGCTTCAGCCTCATCCTCATCCTCATCCTCGCCTGGTACTGCTGCTGCCACGCCGTCATCCGGTCCGCGTCTGGCGCCTCAACATCACCGGCCATCTTCTAGGCTGCTGGCTGGTCATCATCGCCATCGTGGACGCCCTCCTGAACGGTGTCGCCGCCGCCGCTGTTTCGCCTGCGTCGCTGCCGTTGCCCTCCACACAGCCGGCCTCCGGCCCTGCTCTGTCGCCGCCACTGCCTTCCGCGTGGCCGGCCCCTGGATCTGCTCTCTCGCCGCCACTGCCTTCCGCGTGGCTGACCCCCTGAACTGTTTCACTCTGGGCTCTTGGGCTGGCAACCTCTGGGCCGGCCACCAGAGCTGTGTGAGCTTTCATGCTATCAGCCCCCGGGCCGGCCACTTGAAACTATGTTTCGGACTCTGGCCCCCTGTGTGCATTTTGGACATTTTGTTTGGATTCCTGGGGGGGCTCTTGTGTTGTTCTGTTCCGTTTCCGTTGTTCTGTTTAACAGTTACACATTTCATTATCCAGACTCTGACTCTAAGTATTCATTTTAAAAATAAGAGAAGTCTAGGCTTTAATCCTAATAGATTCACTTCAACCTTGAAAGAAATGTGTGGGAGTTAGGGTCCTTCTAGTGTCGCTGTTTAAAGTTAATTGGACACTTGGATGCATTGTACCTTGAAAGGTGAAGGCAGAGAAAAGGTGGAGAGAACCCCAGGTGTCTGCAGTAAAAGTCTGTGGGAGCATCTCCAGGGAAAACACAAAGTGTCTGCTGATGTCTAAGACTTAAAGCAGTCATTCACCACATGGTTTTCAATTAGAATGATTAAATATGACTGGATGTGGATCTGTGCAATTATTCTCACACCCCTAAATTCTGCAGTAAAAATTGCTGCATTTTGATGGAACACTTTTCAATACTGCCGTAAATCCACTCCAATTAAAACTGAGTCTTGGCACATTAATACATTATTCATTTCTTTATGTAGAACTGAATATGCTTAAGCTTAGACCCCGAAGTTAGAAAGAAAAAAAAAAAGGGGGGGGGGGGGGGGGGGGCATTTTGGACTGTGGCATAAAATGGAAATGCACAACTTCTAAAGATGTGTGTTCCACCACTGAGCCTGGAGTCCTTTACCACAACCATTTGGATGTTAGAAGTTTCTTCCCTGCTACCCTTGAAAAGAAGAAAGGATGTCTCTTTGCAATAACCAGCACTAAATGGTCATTTGAAAAGCCAGATTTGAACAATCCTACTGTGTATAAGAAGCTGCAGAAGTTGGGGGGTGGGGGGATGCACAGAAATACAGTGCTGTGCAAAAGTGTGGAGTCACCACTATTTTCTTTATATTTTGCCAGGGAAATGAGAAATAGTAAGCATGTTTAAATACATACAGAAATACTGCATATAATGCAAATAAGGGCCTTGTATAATCCTACCAAGCTTCAAAGTCAATATTTAGTATGACCATCTTTATTCTGCAACACAGCCTGAACTCTTTCGGGCAAGCTTTCATCTAGCAGTTCTCCGGGCTTCTTGAAGGCCATTCAAAGCTTTGTTCTGTTGTCTGTCAAAATGCTCTGACACCGCTTCAATAACATTTAGGTCAGATGGTATTAGATGGTGAATCAAAATCTAATGGTACTTTTCAGCATTCACAATACCGTCAAATCTGACAAGATCCCCAACACCGCTGGCTGAAATTCCACCATCAAACCATGGCATAGCCTCCATTGTGTCGTGGAACACTTAGACGCACTTACATGTTTGCCTCAGCCAATGAAATTCATCACAACGAGATGAAGGACGGTGTGAGCGAACAGGAAGTCGGCGAAGGCTCTCTCTGGGGAGATGGACAGAAAATCTCATTTGTTCTGTGGGTTTATCTGGATGAAAAACAAACAAGGGATTAAGTATCAGTACCTCTTTC